TTATATTGATTTTACAACGGTGTTTATTTTGTTACTTCTTAGTTAATTTCATTTTGAAATTATTTTTGTGAGTATTAAATAAGTTTAAAATTTTCCATATAAAGTTGAAATAATCCAAAAATATATTGAATGTTAATCACAGATTTCAGATCTTAAAAAGTTAATTTTTTAAAATAATTTAGCAATAAAATATGAAGCAATGCTCTATAAAAATTTATAATAAAATCATGGAAATGTTATGCTATTATGTATAATATGCGTCTATATTTAAGTACATATAATTATATTTTGTCATAAAATATTCAAAGATTAAAAATTATTTTAAACATCGTAAATTTAAATAAATAACTTAAACATTAATTAATTTTTTTAAACAAAACCAAATTATAAATTATATAAATCAGATTTTCCAAAAAAAATTAAAATATTAAAATATTATATAATCAGCTTATATATTTATTTTTATATATATATATATATATATATATATATATATATATATGTAAAAAATCAAAGCTTATCAAAATTGTGACGTTAGACATTGAATAATAATAGCAGCTACCTAGTTATATTATGATTATGCATTTATGCGCAGATTTATACGGTATAATGAAAATATACATAAAATATTGAAATAATAAATTATTTTGTAAAGCTTTTCGAAAAAAAAACTCAAATACCTATATAAAACATGTTTCGCTAACAAAGTTATATAATAAATATTTAATTTTACATATGATTATTTAAAATTAAAACTTTGAATGTAACAAAAAAAAAAAAAAAGATTGCGTATGATTTAACGAACAAGTTTCAAATGTACCTTTTTGAGTTAAAAATGATTGCCAGATGTATTTTATTGTACTGACATTTAATAATTATAGAAATTAAAAAAATATAAATTGAGATAATTCGAACAAATTAAAATAAATATTAAAGTCTTGTATTATAAAACCATTGCTTTTCGAATAAGTTTACTCATTAAATAATCAAATGTAAAAATTTTTTTAAAAATGAATATTGTTTTTATCTCAAAATTTTTCGTTCTGAGATTATAGTCAAACACATAAACAGACAAAAACGATATATTAAATAATCTAATAATTCACCGGTTGACGACCTACCTATTTAATTAGTTTCCTTTTCAAAAATTCTTACTAACACTTAATATGTTGAATCATTTTTGTTGTAATTTAAAAATCTGTGTTTAAACCTCAATCATTTTTCAAAATATGTTTTATGTTTATTTGAATTATTACGATAAGCTAATTAATGTAAATGTTAAAATATACATGTTTTAGTGAAGAATAAAAACACTGAAATGATATTAAAAATCACTTTTAATTTAGAATATTTGAAATATAAGTTTGTAGTTCTTGGTTATAGTATTAATACTATATATTATGTAAAATTAAATTTAAATTTTCAATAAAAAATTAAATTTTTTTTTTTTAGTTTTTTTCATTATGTTGTCAAAATATCTATGACTTAAATTATTGTAAGTGGATATTGAGAGTTCAGAACGCTTCCAGTTTAAGAACGAGTACTCCTGAATTATCCATGTCTTGATATCTTTAATATATTTTGGTCGGTAATAACACTAATAACTAAAGTAATATTTAATACTTATTTACAAAGTAAGACTGGGCTAGATTATAGGACTGGCGATCGCGGACTAGGCCCTTTGAATAGTTTGGGTCCCCAGACTTCATATTCATATTTTTAAATTAAGTAAAAATGCTAATCAAGTTAATGGTCTCGAAAGAAGTTCATTGGTTACTTTTTTGTCAAAAACTTTTATAAACAAACTAATTTTAGTTAGACTTATTTTAATTAGTCAAATAATACAAAATAAAACAATAAATGATATAAAAAAAGTTGGAGAGTTTAGTATCATGGTAGATCCTACACAAGATATTTCTATTTTAGACCAACCTGTTATAAGTGTTAAATATTTTTTTAATAATGAAATCCATGAAAAGCTTTTAAAGTCGATAATAGTTTGTGACTCTAGTGGAAAAGATTTGTATGATTTAATTTCTAGTGAATTTCATAAATTGACTTTAGATATTTCTAAAATTATAGATTGCTTATTCGATAGAGCAGCCAACATGAAAAGGCTATACAATAGTTTACAAGCACATTTAAAAAATAAGAATCCATTATGTGTATACACTATACACACGTATTGTGTAGGGAATGTATTGAATTTGGTTATGGTCGATTCATTTGAATCTTATGTGAATGCAGAATTTCTATTTGGTTGAAAGAACCGCACCTACATTTTTATTAGATTTCTGATTAGATGAATATTAGAAGAAATTTTGAAATTCATAAAGAAAGTTTAATTGATATTATTAAAAAGTGTTTTTATGAACTTTCGAAATTGTTGTTTTAATGTTTATTAGAGCTGTCCAATAGTATCAATTACACCGTAAACAGTTATTATATGTTACATTTTATTTATAAATAATTTTAAAATACACTTTTATACAACATAATATGTATTATTTAGTATATATATGATTATAAAATATTAAACTTTTACTTAATTATTATCTTATTTAAATATAAAAAATGAAAAGTAGAGAGCGGAGCTCACAATTTATAGTATAGCCTAAGGGCACTTTGATCAGATCACAGACTGGGCCTTTTGACGCCTGTCTAACCCAATTATCTAGTATATACATTTAAATGAGAAAACTTACTTTAATCATAATCAGAGTTAATATCATAATCTAAAACCAAATTTATATCGTTAATTTAATTAAGATTTATTATTGTAGTGTGTGTACTATGTAAACTGTACATAATGATCTATTCACAAGGGTGTTAAAGACATTTTTAGTCATGCAATGGTTAAAAAATGAAGTTATAACAAGTATGCGACATAAAAGGTTTTTAAAATTTGTGTCATCTATTTATGAACAGCGATATAACTCCTTAATATAATTATTATAATCAAAAATACTGAATACGTTTGCATCAAATAATAGTACATTTATTTGGTTTAATAATATATAATAATTAGAAATATGAGTTATTATTATAATATATTTATTTTAACTTTTTATTCATTAGTAAATACAATCTATAAATAATTTTTTACAATAAGCATATTTGAAGATAATAATGTTTGGTATGGTTGACACGAAGAAGTAATCACCCAACGGCAACACTTACTAGATAAAAGAGTTATCTTATTTGAGGTCGAGGTTCTAATTTCGCATCAATATAATATGATATTAAACTATTAAATTAATTGTATATTTTGGTTATTAAATAAGAATTCTTCACTATATTCATCAATGGTTTTACATAGATTCTACTTTAGATGCGTCATTGCGCTAATACATATTAAATGTGATTAAAAAAAAAGTCTATATCTGTAAAACATTAACAAATAAACCCTAAGAAAATAGCTTATACCCAACATTATATTATTATATTATTTTATCATATAATTTCAATAGATTACACTCTCTGTTAGTTAGCTAGGCTTACTTATATTCTTGTATATATATATAGGGAAACTTTTAAAATGTGTCAATTCATCATGAAATAATTTTTTTTTTAAATAAAAAAGCTACGCTCTATTTTTCCATAAAGAATATACACACCCTTCAAAATGCAGTAACTTCAAGTTTTATTTGTTATTTCAAAGTATTTTCCTCATTTAAATTTTAGTAATAAAAAATAAAATCACACATTTTTATTTTACATTTTTTATTACTTACGTTGTTTTTTCTCGGATTTTATACGTTAAACAATTTATTTTTTATAATAGAATATAAATATTATTATATAGTATTATAATAATATGATCTATATGTAACATGTGTAAAATATAACAACATCTTTAAAAATATATTGTATCTTGTGCTTTACACAACTTCAGTTATTATCTGTAGTTGGTATAATATTAATTTTTTATGTCACTATTTATGATTCTCGTAATAGTTTAATAATATCACTATGTATCACTTATACAACGACAATTCCTCCTGTACATATATAATACCTCGTGATTATTGAGGTTTTATTTTAAACTTATCATTTTTACGAGTATAATATGATGTATGCACAGGATCATCCTTAGAACTTACATGGTCTATGGTGGATACAAATTTGTGTGGTCTAAAATTGTAGATTAATTAAAAAAAAAAAAAAAATTAAATGTAATGCAAATTAAAAATTAAAATTTGGTAATTATTTGTTTAAGTTTAATTACCTAGTAAATATAATATAATAGAAAATTAAGGTAATTAAATTTTTATAGGGTATTTATTGACATAAAAACAGTTCACTTAATCATATACCAAATAACATAGTGATAATATTATTGAATTTATTGTCAAATTTAAAAGAAAAAAAATATTATTTAGGCCTTTCGAATAAGACCATTTATATATTTTAATTTTAAAGAAAGTTATCAGCATTTTAAAATTAAAACACATTTTTTTATATTTTAAAATTCTCAATACTCGTTTTAAAAATAAGATATAAAAAAATATCTTTGTAAACCTTTAGTTTAAAGTGCCATGTAAATTTTATTATTATTAATAAATTTATAAATAATTTTACCTTAAAACTTGATAATAAATAATTCACTTTAATATTATAACAGATTAAAATGGATTATTCTGAATTTAAAATGTACTGTATTACGTATTAGTAAGATTGAGATGGACAACAAATATGGATACGACGTCGACTTAATATTACAATTATTGCGGCAATGGTATAATCAAAATTAAATCTGAAAATCTAATAAAATAATGGCTCTAATTTTGCAAATGTTGAAAAACCATAATTGTTATTAGAGTACTGGTATCTAAATCTAAATAATCATCTAAAAATTCACAATTGAAAGTTATTACTTGTTAATTTGTGAATATCGTATGCATGTACCTGTATTAGGACGAAAAGTCCGGGGCTCTAGTCGAAAAACCCTTTCACCCTAGCATAGAAACAACTATGGCTTTAAAATAAAACTGACTTACCCGCCAATGCGAGACTGCACGATAATCCAAGTACAATGAGATTGAATAGAACGATTCTAATCATCATGGTTCAAAATTTTCAGTAGAAATATAGACGAAAATAACCCACCACGTCTGTAATTGTATTATTAGACGAATGCTCGTAAATCCGTCCAATTAATTTTGAACACTTGAAACATTAAAAAAAAAAAAAGTTTTTTTTTAAAAATGTCACCAATCACGTGTGCGTCTGATACTCGCTTCGCGGGCTGCGCGTGTAAATACTCGTATGATACGTTATATTGCCCGACCAGTGAGAATCGCAATAGGTCGTCGCCGCCGCCGTCGCCGTCGTCACCGCCGCCGTCAACTAATCCACACCGATCGTGCGCATTAGTGCATTACAGAGACGTGAGTGCGCGCGATCTGACATTTTGGCCGCCGCCGGGACTCGCGTATACACGTCGGTTTAAAACCTAAATACCACGTTTCCCCGTCCCTTTTCTGTCCGGCAAAGGTGTACAATTATTGCTGAGGCAACCTTTTCAATATATACTTACACTGATGCACGTAGCTATTATAGGGTACGCGTATTTCGCATTTGAGCAAGCTAAGACCCTTTTCGTGCTATACATATATGTATATTATGTTCGCGTTTTGGTAATATTTTCACTTAGTGTCTTAGTGTAGAATTTTAAAGTCTCAAAATTCGAATACAAGTATAAAGCTCAACTATACTCATTGGTAGACAATATTTATTTCATAATATTAAACTAGTTATAAAAAATTAAGTCCTAGTTTATAAACCTAAAGATGCTCTTGATACATATGATTACATAAAACATAGGAAACTTGACTTGATCCATTAAATTTAATAAATCATATCAACGATAATAATTATAAATTCTGTAATTGCTTATAAAATATTATTATTTCCAACATTGAATAATATATATTATATAATTACAACTTTTGAATTTCAATCTTTATAATATAATATTATTTATTTTAATAAAATTAGTAAGAATGACTTTGAGTTTAGTTGATTTATACAAAATATGAATATATGATAGAATTCTACGTATAAAAATTTTCGATAAATACATATATGATAAAAAATTGACGGAGTTAAATATTGTGATTAATGGTATGCTTATTAAATAAAACGCGTTTAAATTTAAACGATGGTATAAATACTGTGTCAAAAGACACATCCTTCAATCAAACAGTTCTGTCCGTATAGATATTGTGTTCATATAGCATATTGTAATGAGTATAAATAATTTGTAAATATTCTCTTTCTTACTTCTAAAAAAAAAAAAATAATAACTTTAAGCTAAAAATATTTTTTGCAATAATTAACTATTAAATTTCTCACCATCTAAGTACTTATTTTGTTTTTTTCGTCATCGCCACATTTTCCAACTAATTAAAAAAAATCTGACCATAGTCAAAAAAGCCAATTTAACACTAATGGTTAAGCCGGATTTTAATAAGCTTAAAATGCAATTTAATTCTTGTATTAATTTAATTTTTATAAATTAATTTAATACTTATGGAAATATATTTTTTAAACAAAAGTCACGATTTTTTTTGTCAAATTATTTAGGGTATATGTACATGGTTTAATATATTATATAAACGTACACATCAATCTATCTATGTAAAACGTTTTATAATTTTATTATACATATTACATTATATATAGTATACTATAATGCTATTACCGTTATTTATTTGGAGCTAAATAAAATTATATAATATTCGATTCGGTGTATAATTTATGAAAATCAATGAAATACTTTATTACAAAATGTCCATTTTTATGAAGAGGCACTAGAACCATTTTATCACCTATGCGTAGGCAGCATAGGTAAATAAATTTAAAAATCAATCAGTAATGATTATATGTAGGCGTAATGCGCTAATAATGTAAAATAAATAATAATACTTTAAAGATCAATGAAATATAATAAATACAGTCAAAAACTGATGATTAATTAATGATTACTGTACAGTGAAACTTCCCCTAAAGGACATTTCTTCCCAATATTGGACGTTTTATTGGAAACGGGAAATTTCTAAAACATTTTTAATGGGAAAATCTTTAAATAGTGGACTCTCCAAATAACCAACACTTATTTTAATCTTATTTTATTAGATAACGACAAAACAGCGACACAAAAATATACTTACACTAATAAAACGATAACGAACTCGTTAAAAACCTATTTTTTCTACACAATATTGATTTGTATTTATATATAAATGTATTATTTTTTATATTTATTTAAATATTGAAATAATAATATTATAATTAAATTTAATATAGCACATTTTTTTTTTTATACATTTACCCATTAAAAATTTCAAAAATGTATCCCCTCTGAATAATGGATTGAAGTTAGATGATCGAGAGTGCTATTCAGAAGTTTTACTGTATTTTGTATTTTAATTTACATCAATATTTTACGGTTTGGAATGCGTTACGTTACATACCGATTTATGGAATAGATATTTTACCACAAAAATAATTTAAGACAAATAAGTTAAATGTTATGTTAGGAAGATAATTAATGTGAAAAACATTTTTTTAGCCTAAAATATTTGAATAAAAAGATACACAAAATAAAGTTAACATTATAGTTTAATTTAGTATTTGTTTATTATTAAATAAAGAACATACAATACTATAATATTCATTAAATTTAGAATAAATTAAATAAAAATTAAAGAAATTAAGGTTGAAAACGAATTCAAATTATCTGATAGTGATTCTTTTTATTAGTATTTGATATCTACATAAACTTGTGACAATAATATTTGTTAATTAATAACATAAACAATAAATTTTAAGAAATAAATATATATATTAACAATATGATATTATTTAAGCAACTAAATTCAGTATAGTGATTATTTTATTTTTAATAAATAATGTTAAAAAATCTTTTAAATTATATATAATCATATAAGATTATAAGCTCAAAATCAGAAAATGCTAATTTGATTATTTTTAAATTCACTGTTTTAAACAATAAACACAGGTTTAGTGTTATAAATGCTTTATAATTGAAACTTATGAAAAACCAAATAGGTTAATTATTAAAAAAGTTATTAAGAACGAAAAAGGTTCTAATTAATTAACACATTTTAGTAATGCATTAATTAATATTAATTTAAATAGAACCATTGGATACTTAACTATCGCGATAAAACTAAAAGATTCTATCTGAATTCTACAATTTACATGATAAAATAAATTAGCGATAACTTTACTGATACCAAAAGGCAAAAAGTATGATATTACATCCATTGTGTCAACTATGAAATAATAATATAATAGACATTTATTTTAATATTATTGATATTTGTAAATTTATTAATAAAATAAATAATTCTATGTTGAACAGTTACATCTTATTATTTAAGTTTTAATATAACATCAGGATTTTTTAAATTGTAATAAATTAGAAAGAGAAATATAGAACAAAAATTTCAAGTTAAGTGAAAAAATATTTTTACAACCAATAAATGTTCTATTTGTATAATTTTTTGGTTCTTAAATGAAATTTTTTACATTGTATTTTTTACGTTTTATTAAGAGCAAATCTAAATACAAGACTAACAAAGAAACTTTGTTAATCTTTAGAATTCATAACCATGAAAAATCATACATTATGAAAGAAGATTTAAGTAATAGTTTAAAGTTTAAAATTGGTATCCCGAATAATTTGATATTTCAAGACAGTTCCATTTGATCCCAAATCTACAAAGTAATTTAATACGTAATCATAATATTAAAATTTCGTGTAATTTTCAAAACAAATGTTTCTTCTTACTAATTTCGAGAATAAATTTAACGTTAATTTAATATTTGTATCGTGCAATGAACACAAAAGTTAGATACTGTAGTAAGGTACTATAATTTGTATAATTCTACGTGTAATTACTAATTATTAGTAATTGGCTTATGAATAACCTTAATTCCATTTGTGTCTCAATGGTTTAAGGATCAGTTTTAGATGTAAGTAGATCAAATGTACATAGGTAAATCTTTTGTCGAGATAAGCTAAAATGAACTCAATTTCTTAATAAGTAATTTAGATCACATAAAAAAAGTATTATGATCATATCTATTTTTTTAATGTATTTTTAATAATTTCCTGATAGTTGATAATAAAAATATGACTTTAATGTCACACAATCTGATAAATGTTTTAGAACTAATGGTAGTCAATTGAGTTTTTTTACACATAAATTACTATACTACTGCAAATTGTCGATCGCTGTTATGTTAAATAGATTCAGTAGGTAACAATGAACGATAGTATAATTTATGTTAGAACCTTTCGCAATAACATCGGAAAATGACGTTTATCTTAAATCCCAATAATAACACTAATCAAAAATTATTTTCATAAAAATCACTATAATGCCTTGATTACTTTTACAGGGTCCAATTAAATTGGCTGCTGATTCATTGAATAGTAAGTGGGTATGCATTAGTTTTGTTTTACCGCTGCTTCGTTGGCGGAAACCTCTCCACTAAATGCAATGAAAAGCAATTTACTTTTACGGTCGTTTACGTTATTCGGTACTATAGTACAAGAAAAACCTTGACATCTAATTTCACAGCCAACGCGTTTTCAAAAAGCTTATTTGAGTGGTATTTGCAAAAAAACCAATGAACTCAAAACTCACATTATGTACAGGGTGCTAAAATAATGGAATTTTTTAACGTTGAGGTGTATATTATATAGAAAAAATACATTCGTTTACCGATATATAAACATTAATTTTAATGTATATATATAATATTTATAATTTTATCATATTTGTATTCAAAGTCTTCTTCCTAATGATAGCTTATTATGCTTTATATATTCCATTGGTTTTTTCACAGCTTATATGATTCAAATAGTACTACATTAGTGCTATTCCCTAGGTGACGGATATTTATACATACAGTTTCATAAAAGTTAGAAATAATTCACTAACTGTGCTGTTTTATATATAAAAAAAAATTGAATTATTTGTAATTTATGGGTTATGTACTCATTGGATTCAATCCTGAACTAAATAATTTTTTATTATTAAAAATGAATAAAATTTTATTATTACATTTTGAACCTCTCTCTTTTGTATACCTAATTTTAAAAATTATAGCTTTGTAACCCTAAAATAGCTGATTTTAAATTTTAAATATAAATCAATAACAAAAAGATAAATCTATCAATAGAGATGTTTAAAAAAATAATTATTATCAATATAACCTATAATCTTTAAAATAATTTAAACTTTTGTAGGATTATTATACAATAAGTGCTCATTATTAT